GAGCCCCTAACCCTGTGACTGGGCACACCTGGAGCCCTTAACCCGGTAACTGGGCACACCTGGAGCCCCTAACCCTGTGACTGGGCACACCTGGAAGAGCTCCCTACCCTGTGACTGGGCACACCTGAAGGAGCCCCTAACCCTGTGACTGGCACACCTGGAGCTCCTAACCCCGTGACTGGCACACCTGGAGCTCAAATCCCTCACAGTTGCCCGTGCTGTCCCTCCAGCATCTATCAGTTGCAGTCCCATGTCCTTACCCCACAACTGTTTTCCTGGGAGGTTTCCTGAGTCTGTGATGGTTAGTGATGACACCTGCTCTCACCTGTGTCTCCAGTCTCAGGGCAGTGGTTCGCCCTGTGTCCTCAGCTCTTAAGAAACCTGAAAGTGTTGTTCATTTCTTCAGTCTGCTTAGCTTGTGCTTGCTGTTAGGACAGAATGGTGACTTCCGAGCTCCTTACAAGTAGAATCAGAAACTGGAAGTCTCCCTTGTTATAGAGCAAAAGCAGTACTAAGAGGGGAGCTTATAGCAATAAACGCCTACATCAAAAAAAGTGAAAGACTTCAAATAAACAACCTAAAAATGCACTTCAAGAAACTAGAAAAGGAAGAACAAATCAAAACCAAAATTAGAAGAAGGAAAGAAATAATAAAGATTAGAGCAGAAATAAATGAAAGTGAGACTAAAAAACACAATACATAAGATTGACATAATGAAAAGTTGATTTTGTAAAAAGATAAAATTGACAGAACTTTAACTAGACTAAGAAAAAAGGAGACACAAATAAAATCAGAAACAAAAAGGAGACATAACAACCAAGACCACAGAAATACTAAGAATCATTAGAGACTTATGACATCTATGTGCCAACAAATTGAAAAACCTAGAAGAGGCCAGGTGTGGTGGCTCACGCCTGTAATCCTAGCACTCTGGGAGGCCGAGGCAGGTGGATTGCTAAAGGTCAGGAGTTCAAAACCAGCCTGAGCAAGAACAAGATCCCATCTCTACTAAAAATAGAAAAAAATTAGCCAAACAACTAAAAATATAGAGAAAAATTAGCGAGGCATGGTGGGGTATACCTGTAGTCCCAGCTACTGAGGAGGCTGAGGCAGGAGGATGGCTTGAGCCCAGGAGTTTGAGGCTGCTGTGAGCTAGGCTGATGCCACGGCACTCTAGCCCAGGTGACAGAGCAAGACTCTTAAGCTATAATATAAGAACCAAACCAGTATGGTACTGGAATAAAAATAGAGACATGTATACCAATGGAGCAGAATAGAGAATGCAAACATAAATTCACACATTTACAGCCAACTCATTTTTGACAAAGGCACCGAGAACACACAATGGGAAAGGAACAATCTCTTCAGTAAATGGTGCTGGGAAAACTGGATAACCATATGCAGAAGAATGAAACTAGACCCCCATCTCTCACCATATACAAACAGCAGAAGAGATTAAAGACTTGAATCTAAGACTTGAAACTATGAAACTACTTGAAGAAAGCATTGGGGAAATGCTCCAGGACATTGGCCTGGAATTTTCTGTGCAAGACCTGAAAAGCACAGGCAACCAAAGCAAAAATAGACAGATGGGATCACATCAGGTTAAAAAAACATAGATATATGGTAATTCTTAGATACGCTAAAAATCTGAGAAACTTTGCATGTAACCTCTTTAGAGAATTTTTCACCTACTTCTTGTTATCCGCCTGCCTACTGAGTATTTGATTAATATTTGTGTAATATAAAATAAAATTACACAGTAAGTCATTTACCCAATTATTCAACTTGCATGTTATGAAGTTATATTAATGCTTCCATTTAAGATGTATTTGTTGTCTCTGCCCTCTCCACCGCACATTGTGCCCAGAATCACAAATGATGCTGTTTAGAAAGTAGTTATTTTCTCTCTAAAATACCTGATTTGCACAGATGGTATGATGTTATGAACCACCTGTTTGTAATGCTTCCCCATTGATGGACCAACAGAGAATATCACAAAATAGCTTTCCATAATAAATTATTTTATTAAGTCTTAAAATATATATATATATATATACATACACAGATACATGGGATAAAGAAAAGAATTTCATCCAAATTCAGCAAAATCCTGGAAACATGTTAGAAAAATAGTTCTCAGTGGGATACTATAGGAAACAAAGGAAAAGGAGGGGTTGAACGTGATCGTGAAGACTCTAATCTTCAGAACGGGGGAGGAGCCATGGGAGTGTCCACGCTGGGCGGAGCCTCGGCCTCATCATGCCCTTGTGTGTCTTTCGAGAATCACGGTGGCTCCTACTGTCTCAGAGGTCTCCGAGCCTTCCAGAGGTTGCTCTGCTTTCACTGTGAATGAGGAACAAAAAGGCGTCTTGGTATAAACATTCTCAGATGTTAGACTCATCTCGATTCCGGATAAAATGAATTTTCCTAAAGATGTCCTCAAAGCAATGAGGTGTAAATATCATAAAAACAAGAAGTGGCAGGAACATGAAGGGACTCGTGATACACGGCCTGGGTGTAGAGATGGGGTCTCGCTCTTGCTCAGGCTGGTTTTGAACTCCTGACCTTTAGCGATCCGCCTGCCTCGGCCTCCCAGAGTGCTAGGATTACAGGCATGAGCCACCGCACCTGGCCTCTTCTAGGTTTTCCAATTAGTTGGCACATAGATGTCATTAAGTCTCTAATGATTCTTAGGTTCTGGGTCTAAACTCTGTGCTACAAAACCACTTGCTAGCAGCGAGCTGTGATTAGCTAAGTCCAAGGAATACCGGCTCCCGTTTCATGGAAACCTTTTCTCTTAATTTTTTTAAAACTCATTTTACATTGTTATCTTATTTAACTCTTATAATAGATATTATGCCAAACCGTATTTTAGAGATGCGGAAACAGGCTGAGCTAGAATAGTCAGCCAAAGAGAACACAGCTGGGAAACGGCGGCACAGGGTCTACACTGTGGAAAGACTGCTGGAATCCTTTTTTTCTCCAGATCACTGGCTCTTTTCAAACCGTTTCAAAGAGCGCTGTAACCCTGTAGGGCCTGAGGGACCGCTGAGCAGGAAGAAGGAAGAGAAACAGGACAGGCCCCTCAGGCCACCTGTCCCCACAGTGGACCTATGACAGCTATATAAGGTTGCACTTCCAGTTCTGTTTGAGAAAGTGTCAAACACTGGATCACACCATGACGTCTCTCCATGCCGGTGTGACTTGCACTAGCAACTTTTTCAAGTCAAGAACTTTGTCTTGTCCTATCCTTGGTCTCTTGATACTGGAACCTCCCCCCCCCCCCATGATCTGTGAGCCAGTGCTGTCAAGAAGGGTGGACGCTGTCCAGGGTCCTGCCACTGCCCTTGGGGCGTGCCCTGCCTGAGCCTCCGGACAGCCGTGGCCTGAGCATCTCCTAAGGTCCCTGGCACCCGCTGTCTGTCTGTCACCAAAGCCAGTTACATTAGTCAAGGTACCTGATGTTGTCTCCCTGTCATCACAGCTCACTGGGCTGCTCCCCAAGAGGCACGCGATGTCCTCCCCAAATATCCTGAGGGATCTTTCAATGAGAAATTGAACAAGAGAAACCTGCAACACAAAAGGGCAAACACAGGGTGCTCTTTTTTCATTCAGCATATTCGTAATTCACATCTCATAGACGAATCTTAGAACTTGCACGAAACATGAAATTCAGAATTCTGAGAAAGACTCAAGAGTTGATATATAAACATCTGAATTCGTTTCCTCACAGAAACTACTATAATACTCGAATGAGTATTTAGGGCACAGGTCTTAAAATACTTATCGTCCATGGACTAAAGTTATAACTTGTGGTCTAGCTGAAGAGCTAACATTTTCATATCAATGGCCACATCTTTAAGAGCAGGATAATTTTTAAGTAACTCACATAGGATGTGTGGGGGGAAGATAGATATTCTCAAACTAAAATGTAGAAAGCAACCACATGGACGGAAACCTGTGAAGTTCCCTTCTTAAGTGGAACGTGGTGAACGTGGGGGCAGAGCTGCTCTGTGGTCACATGCGGAGGAGGGGGCAGCCACAGAGGGAGCGTCTTCGTGTTGAGCGGGAGTCCCTGCCCAGGCACCGCCTGCCTCAGGACGCTCTCTGGGGGAGCTTGGGGAGGAGCTGGCATCCTGTCTAGGCACACTGCGGCACCACGGGGATGTTCTGGAATCTTCTCCTAGTTTTCTCACTGCAGCAGCAGAGACAACACAGCAGCCCCGTATTGCTCTGCATGTCTGTCGACCGTGAGCCACAACGGACAGGGGACAATGACTTGTGGAGCCACAGGTGCTCCTGTCACCCAGACCCTCTGGGCAGTGTCAGTCCTGGGCGTGACCAACACTGCCACCGTTTAGACGAGGCAACTGTGGCTTGCAGTCTCTGTCCGTGGGTCCACGTCCCTCAGTGCTGAGACTCAGAGCTGAGCCTTGGGTTGTCGAATTCCAAAGCCCCAGTTTCCTCTCTGTCACATCACGCCCGTTTCTTATCTCTGTGGTTCCGTCAACCTAGAGCTCTGTCTCCCGGATGGGAAGGAACAAGTGACTCCCTGCTCTTAATCTCCTGCTGACCCACCCCCCCTGCCACCCCCACCCCGAGAAAAGCATAAACGACTCTGTCGTTCCAAAGGGGTGTAATTAAAGTGTGCACTTAAAAAAAAAAACCCAAAGTCTGACAGAGTTATTCTCCTGAATTTCAGGTTCAAAGTGGAGGCTCTGTTCCCAGGGCATGAACGAGAGAGATCCCAGTACCTTTTCTGCGAGCGCGTCCCGGGACTCTGAGCTGCAGGGATCGGCCGGCCACGGGACATTCGGGGCTACGCAGACTGCGAGATTATAAGCCGTCATGAGATTCGAAGAGGAGCGTTTCTCTACATTGTACAACACTCCAAAAAGGTGTCGCCAAAGGACAACGTTCACCTCCGGCAGCTGGCCTGAAAGGCTAAACACAGAAAAACGCACACTTAAAGCGTGTAAGTTTACCTAAGAATTAGCTGCAAAGACAGAGAAGGGGGAGAGTACTTTTTTTGTAGGCCATTTATACGACCCGATGAAAATACAAAAGAATGGAGAACTATGTCCTAAAATACTGCCTAAGATATTTCCCTGAAACTGCTACAATGTGTTTTCACTTGGGCAATCTTTATTAATGTCTCTTATCAATATATTTAAAACTCACGTGACATTTCAATATGTACTCAGCTAAAGGTTTGGTGACGAAATTAAACAGCAATTAATCTTAAAAGGCTCCTTTGTTTGAATGTGGCCATACAGGAATGCTGTCTTGCGCTAAGAGCCCAGGGCCTACCTGTCAGCCGAGACACTCGTCCCAGGCCTGACTGCACACAAAAACGTCCCACTGAATGCAATTCCTGCACCAGGTTTAACTTCTCTGGCTCGTTCACTATTTGACAAGGTTAAGACGATACCGCTGCCAGATGGGTTCGTTATCATTTTCCTTGGACCAGTGGGCATCATGTCCTATCAATGACACATATTCAGAATGTACACAAATGTCAAGGATTCCATATTCATAATATTAGGAGGAAAACAAGAAGCATACTGACGCGTACGCATCTCTTTGTAAACTGGCCTCTGTGTGTGGGACCAAATGGAACCCTTTGGCAATGACTCTTTGGTCGTCATTCCAGTGACTGCGACTGTGAAATGCAAGCTGACACGTGTTAGGGAACACGTGGGTCGTGTTTTTGTAAGTAGAGTAAGTGCAGCATTGTCACCTCTGGATCGCAGCTACTGTCTCCTCCTCGTTCTCCTGATCAGTAACACGGAGCCATTCCTCATACAGACTGGATGAAAACACGCTCCCTTGGATGTTTTTAAGGAAATCCTTACATAGATTTAAAATTTTTTTTTTATCATTATGGCAAATATACATTGGGGAAATTACAGAAAAAAATTTAATTAAGAAAATTTTAATTGAAAACTTTCAATTTAATTGAAAAATTTTAATTGAAAAGTTTATTTTTCAAAATTCAAAAATGTATTTCACTTTGTTCACCAGCTACCCTGCGACCCACACAGAGGCTGGCTGCAGCTCTCCACTGACTTGCACACCCAGAGGCAAATGCTTGGATGTTGTTTTGCAGCTAAAACTAGAAGCGCATTAAAAGGAGGGTCTGGGCGGTGCTGGGAATGAAGACGAAGTTTCCTCCCAGCCTCTGAAACTTCCTCATGTACATTCTAGCAAACTAGTACCAACTGACAAGGCCTGGTGATAAATCCTCCTAAATGCCATTATTTCCATGAAAAGGAATAGACATGCACGCCACCTTACCATATTTTTGTTCAGAGCCGTTAACAAGAATCAAAATGGATTTATTAGGTTATTTTTCTGTTCTATTATTTTCCCTGGCAGAAATGTACCTGGATCCTTGTGATTTAGTGGTGTCAACTCAAAACTTATCTGCTTTTCATATACATTGAGTAGATTTTCAGAATTCCAAACATTTTTAAAAGTCGGGTTTCTAAGAGGCTCGTGGTAGGAACTGGCTGCGGTGTAGCTATCACTGTGGGGGGGGGGGAGGTTCAGCAAAGCAAATATTAACAAAGGACGCCAGAGGGTGTGAACGTGACAGAAGACAGGAACGGTGGGGTCATTCCCACCACACTTTTAAAGTAAAGGCTTTAGAAGAGCAGGGAAGGAATGATGAGAAACGAATGGAGCTTTTGGTGACCCCTTTGAGCATTTTTTTTTTTTTGATTCATCATCAAGCAAATGTTTGCTGACTATGGTAAACTTGTACAACTAACTATTAGAACCGTTTTCATACGCTTCATAAGCATTTTCTTCTGGGAATGTTTTCTCCATCCGGAAGGCAGTGGGAAGTCATCACATGCAGGATGCCTGATTCGGTAAACACTTTGTATATGTGAATGCGTGTATCTTAAAATGTATTAGTATTGCTAATTATTATCATTATTATTACTTTGCATGAGTGCTCGGGAGTGAGGATGGGGAGGGGGGTGTGTGATGAGGAAGGAAAGCACACGAACACATGGGGCTTTTAACAACCAAGGGAACCGATTTCCTTACACCGTGCCTCTGTGATGTGTTTTCCAGTGTCTCAGGTTCTCCGTTGCAGCGCTCGCCGCTCTGGGGCGACCGTGATGAAGACCCGACCGTGCAGCGTCAGAACTTCACCCACCTTTAACACGGAGGCCACCACGCGAACGGACTCGCTGTCCCAGTCCACTCTGTCTCCAGAGTCTAGTTTCCTCTTCAGTGCTCCACAGGATTTTGTGTTGGGCGAGATTCGGAAGATGCCCTCCTCCTGGGGCGGCCCTTTCTCGTGAATAAAGGCAAGCACGCCCCGCGGGAAGAAAAGGAAGGAAAAGTTTGACACTCCCGAGCCAGGGCGCGAGCTGCTGCCTTTTCTGAGGACAGGGCTGCGCCGTGCAAGGCCGTGAGCACAGGGCCCAGGCTGAAGGAACGAAGCACATGTTGGATTTTGTTGTGCGTTTTGGCATCTCTGTATTTTCTACCCATCGATCCACTCCATAGCCAAGCACTGAGACATTTCTCATCAGCCGCTTCTTTTCAGTGAGTCGCCGCTGTGACATCAAACTTCTCTGCTTCAAGACCTCTGCTCAATCGCCCTCTCCCTCTCCACCATCCTTGTCTAGCTGTGTCCTCACGCGGGTGCTCTTCCCCAAGCAGGGAACCCTTCCTGCCACACTGGGTCCCACCTGCTTATTCCCCGCCAGGTGACTGCATGCCCCGACTCCCTCCTTCCTGCACTTGCCAGGCTCTTTGCAAATCAGGCTGAAGACCTGCCTCCCCCACCAGGAAGCTTCTGTGACCACGTTCTCTCCTCGCCTGCTCCCACTCCTCTCTGCTCCGTCTTCACGTCCCTTGCTTGCAGTGTAGACAGAGAACAGGTGTCACAGCCAGGGGACCGGAGGGATTTATGACCCATGATGCCACTTATTTGATGTATGTCCTTGGGCATAGGATTTTCCTTTCCTTTTTTAATTTAAAATAAAATAGAGATGGGGGTCTCGCTCTTGCTCAGGCTGTTCTGGAACTCCTGAGCTCAAGCAATCCTCCCGCCTCAGCCTCCCAGAGTGCTAGGATTACAGGCGTGAGCCACCGCGCAGGGCCAGGACATTGTTACTGGGGCTCTATTTCCTGTGTGAAGTGGGGATGACAGTCACAGCTACCTATCGGCTGTGAAAGATGCAAGGTCTGGGGAGGTAGCGAGCATGGACCCAAAACGACATACTTTTTTCACATCCAGCATAAAATTCCTGAAACCCAGTGCAGTGCTTGGACAGGTACTGGACGCTCGGTCAGTGCTACCACTGGCAACTGCATACACTCATTTGAAATAACACAGCCCCAAACTCTGTGGCTTCGATCTGAAACATGCTGTTAGCAATAACAGATGCACACACACCCAGGGAGGAATTTTGATGCTTAAATCCTTAGGATACAAGCCAAATACACGTGCGATATTTTGAGTTATGAGACTGAGCGGCCTCCGATGAAGACATAATTAAAGGAGACTTGAGACTGATGTGGGGACCAGGCAGAAGCTGGACTCTCAGACGTCACACACGCACAGAGCCCACTCTGACATGTCTCAGCCCGGGCACCTGCTCTTTCTGAAGCCGGTAAAAGACCGTCTCTTCCTGCAGTGTTTGCCTCGTCCTTCTCCAATGCCCAAATCAGATTTGTATTCCTTGAAGTCACACCCACAAAACCTCCCAGCCAGAGCTAAGGGCTGTCTCGTGATCGCTCCATTTGCACACAGATTTGGATGGGAGCACTTGACCCCCAGAGATCTCCCCCCACAAAGGGCTCGCAGACCACCCAGAGAGACCTACCAGCAGAGTGCCCGGCAGGCGGCCATCCCGACAGAGCTGCATGAACAGGACTCCGAAGAGCTGTCCCAGCTTCGGGGCTGGGGCTGGTGGAGCATGGGCATGGCTCGTCCCTGGAGGGGCCGGAGCCCCAGCAAAAGGCCCAGCAAAAGGCCCACAGAGCGCCGGCTTGGCCCGCCTCCTGGTCTGAGTGAGGAAGCAAGAAGTGAGATGAGCAGACGCAGCAGTTCAATTCGCTAACCTCGCCCCCACTGTCGCCCTTGGGCGGCACGTCTGTTGCCATGGCGAGAAGACAGAGAAACCGAACCATTTTCGCCGTGTAGGATCTCCCACGTTCCAACATGGGCTGACTGCATCCTGGTGGTGTCAGTGTGTTGCCCTTCCCCACATCCTGCAGTTAAGCCTAGAGGCTTCATCAGACGGGGCTCCCATTTTTCCCGTGGTAACGTTTCCACACGGTGCTGTCTACTGGCCGCTGCACTGCGTCATGAGCTATTCACTATCTAGTTGCACAAGGTTTCTGTGTTAAGCATGATCAGTGGGTTCGGGTGCCAGATCCCACTTTAAAAGCTAAAGATAGTTGGTGTTCAAATCAAGCAGAGCTTGGTAATCGCCTACTGAGTCCACTGCCACTCAGATTTCCTGTTTGGCTTTCGGAGTGCCCAACTATGGTCAACTCTCCCGTCAAAGGGGTGCATCTGCCCGGCACGGCGTGACCTGCCCGGCCCCTTCTTCTCAGCCGGCCTCTCGCCCCTCCAGTGTGGAGGCTGCAGTTCCATGATGACTTGCTTCCCTGTTCTCTACTCTGCCTCGGTTGTACCGTAAGACCCCGGGTGGACTTGTGCCTTGTGACACCTGCCTCCTACCCAAGGATGATTTCTATCTACCTAGCAGCCCTGCCAAGGGAATGCTGAGAAAGAAGAACTTTTCAAAGAGAAGGTTATCAGCAAGAAAAGGCTGAGTTCAAAGTTTCTACTGTTCAGCTAGGAATGCTTTCCTAATCAGGTGCCTGAATATTGTCTTAAATGACTTACTTGTACCAGATACTAAAAAAGTCGACAGAGGAGCCAAGTTTGTGGAAGGATGAACACAGGGGCAACATTTTGCCAAGGTCCTTAAACTCCTGTCCGCCTGGCTTTTCCGGGACGCTGAGCGCGTCGCTGCGTGCATCTGCCTGGGCGAGGCCCGTGGCACTGGTCAGGGAGGCCGAGACGGACTCCTGCCGCTGCTACTCAGCTGGGCACGCCGCTCAAACTGTCTGAGCTTCAGTTTGCTCAACTGTAACACTAATGATGCTCCCTATGCCTCTCTGGATGGGGTAATAGGACATACTACTCAGCACAAAGCGTGGATCCTAGCATTCTTGATAAAAGTAATTTTATTCCTCGCTCAGGTAGCCTAAGGCGCCCCAGACGCCAGGCTCCTGTCCACAGAGCAGACCTCGCCCCCGTTCCCCTTCGGGTTCAGCAGCCTCCAGGAGGTCTGCAGCCACTCAGAAGGCACCACCCTACCTGACATTCGCGCCCCTACCATTTTATAATGACGTAAGGATGAAAGGAAACACATTCTTAAATCCACAGGGATATTTCTGTATGTCAACATGTACCAATGTTTAATATAGTCCCTGTTAATATGTGGGCTGAGTTGTCATATGCAACCTGGTTTCCCTCTTCTTAACCTGATTTTATTGCTTCTCAAACTATCCAAATGCGTCTGTCACTTAGCTTTAGTGAAAGGATGCTCTTCAAAAGGGGGCTTTATCCCTTGCCACAAAGCTGTGTATCCAGCCGCTGCATGAACAAAGCCAGATGGCAAAGTACACACTGAGTCTTGTACTTTCTGAAAAAGTATTTCCAGGCTTAGCTGCACCTTTGTAATGTACATTGTTTGGTGCAAGAGTTCACGTTGCCTCTGTAAACGATGAAAACATAATCGCATTGCCATGAAAAATATGGGGGATGAAATAGAAGCCTGGCCTTTCTTAAACCGCCTTGGAAAGGTTTGGGTAAGTGGTTTGCTCCTGCGTGAATTAGGGAGTGAATGTCAAAAAATTAAAGCTTTGAGACTTTGTGCTTCTGGACTGACAGTCATCACAATAAAAAGACTTCCAGTAGAAATTCTGTTCTTGCCAAAATATGTCCCAAATTTTAGTAAGACATTTTCTCCAGAGAAAGCAGTAGCAATGGGAGAATCCTTTGGTGGCAGGGAAAACAAGGCAAGAAGGAAGAATAAAACAAAGCCCAGCCATAGACATTCAGGCCATTTCCAGTCTAGGCCTGGGGCTGACACAGACTTGTCCAGTAAGCTGGCCGGGGCAGGGGGTGGGACTGGGAACTCAGTTTAAGCCAGAACCTCAAGGGCACTTCAGCCCCAGTCGAGAAGACATTCCCATCCAATTCCATAACTCTGCTTCTATCAGGACCTTTCACTCTGGGTGTCTGAGTCGTGCAGCCGTTGGATCGTCACCTTCTCCGCCCCGGGCACGGAGCGAAGCCCTGGGGCGGGGAAGACGCGGGTTCCCAGGCAGGACCCACAGAGGGCACCCCTGCCATTGCGTGTGCACAGTGCTCGGGGACCCGGAGGGGAGAGCACCCGCCTGCTTAAAGGAATGAAAAATATCTTGCCCGAAGTGAGCTACGTCTTGACTTCAGACCTTGGAGGCTCCTCTAAGCCTGACTCTGGGCAGGCGTCGGGTGCCTGCCTGCGCCGCCCTGCTGCCCTGCGCGGAGAACAGCTCTGTGTCAGGAGCCTCTTGCAGGAATGGAGCCTGGAGCTCAGCGCATGGCTGGGAGGAGGGAAGGGCTCCTGGGCTTGGGCTTGAGCGGGAAAAGGGCGACCCGTGGCCGCTCCGGGAAGGAAGGAGCGCCCGCCTTCCCTGGCCCTGGTGGCAGGGGCGTCGAGGCTTGAAGAAAATCCATGGCAATGTGGAATGGATGTTCGTGTCCTGTGCAGAGGAAAATCAGAGTGTAGATTCATGCAGGCGTGAGCAAACCCCCCAGACCGCGAGCTGCGCCCCCGGGGCTTCTGGAAGGAGTGGGCAGCCGCACTCTCGCTGGGGAGACCCGGCATCTGGCAGGTGCATGAGCAAAAGACTTTTGAAAAGTGAAGAGAAAAAAACGCAAGCGTGTTGCCTCACTGGGCGGCACGTGCGCTGCACAACGGCGACTTTCCATCCGAGAACATGTGCGGCCGTCTGGTTTCTGCTTTGACGCTGATTACGCTTTTATATGTTGGGCACGTTACTTGACCCCTCTAGCCCGACATTCATCATTTCGAACACTTACCCTCCCTATCACACAGACTTAAAAGCATAAAAGAAATTGCATTAATAAACATTGGGCAGTTGATACTCCTTAAATAATCGGCCTACACATGTCAATGTGTAGTCACTGTGGTCACTGTGGTCCCTGTTCTCTCGCGTGGTGTCGGTTCACTATAGATTGCACTTCCCTTTTTCAGGTCTGTGTCCATGGCTCCCCGAGAGCAGCGGGCCTTTGCCCTGGACCTTACCCCCCCCAGGGGTGCCCCCATGGGGGTCCTCAGAGGGACCAGCAGAAGGAAGGCTGCAGGACGCTGGCAACCCGCCAGGAACCTGCAAACCAGGGTTTGTGAGTGGAGAGCCACAGCCCTCGGCAGGAGTTGGCTGCCAAGCAAGGCACTGGTTTTGCTCACTCGTGCTCTAAATTGCTTCCACTCCGTAGACGACCCACTGTGACGTGGATTTCAGATTTTAAGAAAGGAGTAAAAGTTCCCTTTCTTCCATTTCTGATTGATCACGGAATGTCTGGCTTTTCCTTTGTGTCTGGCATGCTTCGTTCGGAACAAAATTACAACAATTTCCAGTTTTTAGGGCACCAGAAGCTTCCATGACAGCGATACAGTAAAATCAAATCATCGCGATAACCAGGGGTTAATCCAGGATTGCGAATCTAGAGCGTGTGGAAAGATGCATCCAGAAGGGCTGCTAAGGGGCCTCCGTGAGTGACAGCTCTCAGGGTCCCTTGGAGCTGGCCACGACCAGAGAAGCTGTGCTAACCCTAAACTTTATCTACCATCTAGACAATGTTTTATCCAAATTAGTGCACTTCATTAAAATAACTATATTTCCAGCATTTATTTTCTTTTTTTCCACTTTCTTGCTGATGTGAATATTTTACAAAGATGTAAATATTAATGAAAATTTAAAAAGGAAAAAAAAAAACAAACCAGCACATGACTGAGGTGGGTGGATTTGTCCTCAGCTACATATACTTGGTGACTGTCTGCATTCTAAGACTGGGACGTACATTACATAGAGAAAACCTTGTTGTTTCAGATTTTTCAGATCACCTGAAAACATCCTGAATTACACAGGAACGGCCTCATAGGATTGTTGGAAGGATAAAAACAAAAGGTAACTAAGGGACTACGCCGGGATTTCCCACAGAAACCACCCTGTCATGATGCTGCCCCTTCCCTGGTTCAATCTCTCTGTGTCTATCAGCTGCACTGAACAGACTTGCTGATCCAAGAATTATTTTTTTCTTAGCTAACATGTTCTCATCACTATTTTGAGAGAGATACAATCTATGTATCAATAGCCTCAAGAACAAATGCTAGAAGATTCAACCTAAAACATGGCAAAGTACAGGTTGGTCAGGCATGGGAGACTTCAGGAGTCTGAATGCGATTCTCTCATTATCTTTATGACGCTGAGAAAAGTTCTGCCCATAGAGCAGGTGTTAAAATAAATATTTGTACTTGGATGAAGAGGTAGGAATGGATTTTATAAGATCATTCCAAAATAGAGGGCACATAATCGGAAATGGAACCGAGGACTTCAGCACTGAAATATGAAAAACAATTGCACGGAGAGAAAGAAATCCCAATCCATTTTAATTTCATAACAGAAAACAGAGATTTTTTTTTTCAAGAAAGCTTTTTGTCAAGTGAAAAAGCAGACAGGAAAAATTATTATTTTTCTCTCCAACCAGAACGTAAGTTGCTGAATGAAGAGATGCTATCAGGTCCCTGGGATTGAGAAGTGCTTAGGAATTATTTATTAAATGTATGAATGGATATTGCATGAGATCTTTTACTTTTATGGGTATTCAAGCTTAGGACTGAACAATCAGTGCTTTGAGACTTTAGAATTACGGTTTTAAACCCAGTCACTCCCGTTTAGATTGTCCGTGACACTCACCGACGAGTGGCTGTGGGGCTCCTTTCTTGCCACGACTGACACTCAGCTGATATTCTTGCTCAGACCCCTTGGAGACACAAAGAACCAAGCTTTATGCCAAACGTTTTACGGCAAATGCTTGAAGAAGAACGCGTTGCTTTGTCATTTCCACATTTCTGAAAAGGAAAACCACTGGGACGGCAGAAGTGCTGCCCAATGCATGGGTGGTTAAAACGGTGCCAACGTCAGTGCCCCTGTGCCCCTCCCAGCCTGCAACAGATGCCCCAAGATTCCTGCCTTCTCCCCTCTGCTGGGCCTGGGTCTGTGGACCCTCAACACAGTCAGCCCCTTTCTTTCTGAGAGACCCATAGAGTAAGAAATTGCTTCATGCTCCTTCGCTAACACAGGGAACGTTAACCCGGAGGGTCCCACTGTCCCCAGGCTCTGTAGAAAGCTGAGCTTTGCCATCACCTGTCTCTGCCCAGTCGAGCCTGTCGTCCAGGCAGGGACAACATTCGCCCACGTGACTACGCCTGAGCACAGTGAAATGTGGAAGGCATCGTAAGCCACAACCCTGAGCCAAAGGAGACAGATGCCCAAGAGGCCTGAGGAGCTGGCAGAAGGAAGTCAGCTGCTGCCTTTCATTCAAACAAGGGACAAGGACTCTCACCTGGAGAACAGGCCAGATGCAGAAAACTATAACCTCCAGCAGAAGCGTCACCCCGCCATACTGGAAATCCCACTTGAAACAGAAAAAGCTAAGTTATACAGACCCTGCCGAGTTATTTTAAAGAGTCCTTCAAGAGAGGCTACGGCAAAAATGTGTTTCAAGTAGAGTCACTGGTGATGGAGACTACAATTGCCCTTCATTCCTCATTAGAAATCAGGGCTTTGTCCTTACGGAATGTCCCAGCTATGGAGGCTCACAAACACACACACACACACACACACACACACACACACACACACACACACAGTGCCAAATCCACTCAACATTGTTTTGCAAACAGGAAGTGAGATCTAATAAAAATCTTTTCTTTATAAGGTTGGGGTTGAAAACATATTCGAATCCCTTAAATCAGGTATACATATGGAGCTAAATAACCTCAATTCGTCATTAAAATAGGACTTACTTCTTGTCTGGTGAGACCAATCACTTTAAACAAAGGAAAACCACAAACCTAAAGTAAAATTAGCTGTATTTTATTTTACATTAATCTCCCCCAATCTCTTCCCTAAAACTACTCTCTCCCAAGATTTGATTCTCATTCAGGGCACATACGTGATACAGGTTAGGAAGCAACACGGAGGTGTCTGCTTTACTTAGTATATATAAATTCAATTTTATTTTAAACATACTATTAAATTCCACTACTACAGAAATAACTGATTTCTCATGCCAAATTCTGGTTGCCCTGAGCTTTTCAGGGGCTTTATTTTGCCAGGCAGTCACACACAATTTAAATACAAATCTTGGACATCATGTCAGAATAACAAGAAATTTTCACATTTCCTGGGGATTTTATATAAGAAGCCATGCTACAAGTGCTTCCTTCAGCTTCTGTCCACCTGACTGTCCCTCCTTTAATAAAAGTTCTCAGTCTGTCAACTCTCCTTTTCCCCCTTGTAGGGTCCTCATCCTTATCCTCAAATATGCTCGTCTCTTCCACCAAAAAATCTCAACAACCTCTATCAGTCCCATGGAAACAGGGGGAGACAGGATTTGAATGAGACCATGGATTTGGGGCACTGAGGTACACACCATTCTCGTCTTCTTTTACCTTTAAGTGTCTGTTCCTTTATGTTTCCATGGGGCTGGTAGTCAGTGCATTTGAAAATAAGTCAATAGAATGTATCTAGCCTAAAGGAGTAAAAAAAGTTTTGAAAATAATTAACAGAGCCTGAGGGACCAGTGGACAAAATCAATAGGTTTAATAACTGCATGTTCTCAGTCACATGCAAAAGCTAAGAAAAGTTGATCATAGAAGGAAAAATAGAACAAAGTCGATGCAGCGCCTGGCCCCAGAGCAGGTCCGTGCTGGAAGGGGTCATTAGTGGGGTCAACTGACAACACTGGAACCTGAAGGGTACATTAAAATACTATATCAATGTTAAATTTACTGAAAGTGCTAACTGAATGGCAGCTATAGAAGAGGATACCCTTATTTTTAGGAAATACATAAGCATTAATATTTAAGGGTAAAGGGCCACGGTGTATATAGCTGACCTTCGAAAATAGCCACACACACATACAGGGAGAGAAAGAAGCACACCGTGATAGACAATACAGGATACAGCAAATGGGGTAAAATGTTACCAAACAGGTGAATCTGATAAAGGGCATATGGTGTTCTTTGTATCATTTTCTACTTTTCTGTATGTTTGCAATTATTTCCAAATAAATAAAGACATTTAAAAATAAATAAACATTTGAAAAACCATGGAAACCACGAAAACCACTCTGTGTGTAAGCAGTGACAACTAGAAGACAAAGTTCCGTTCTATAAATAATAAGAAATATGTGTTTGTGAAAATCACTTTATTATGACAAGCCACCAGAGCTTATGGCCATTGCACACACAATGTTCTTTCCTCACTGTTGCGCTGTGGCTCACAGGGTTCCTCCTGCTTCATGTTACCCAGCATTTACCTTTTCTGTATACAGAGACCTGCATGTGCACGTAAGAATACACTTGTCCTCACAGCACTGTGTAAATGCTCTTCCTGCCTCTCTCTGCTCCTCCCCTTTCTCTCTCCTTCCCTCTCCTCCCCCATCTCTACCACCTCCATCTCTACCACCTCCATCTCTATTCCTCTCTCTCTCCTTCATTCTGCCTAATCAGGAAACCAGAATTTAATTTTGGGTCTTGAACACACTTACATGGGAATCTTTCTTGACGTCGGCAGTCAGCATCTGAAGGAGAATGGTCTTGGGTTCCTCCTTCTCTTTGGCAAGACGGATGTACCTAATCAAATTCAACAATTACCCAAGATAGAGCAGGATGGATTAACTAATAGCTTATTCGCAAATCAATCTATGTTGCTAGTATGTTCAATATACATTGTGTTATTTTTAAAAACATATGGGTAGACTTCAGCAAGGTCAAACTATGGGTTGAAAAATCATGAAAAATATTTCAGAAAAATAAGACATAGCCCAGAAAATAGCAGGTTGCCCTGTGATGTGAGATTTGGGAAGCAGATCCAGCTCTCAAGCACTCCGGCCTGGACCGGAGGGCCCAGAACCTTCCCGGGTCCAAGGGTGGAAAGGAGCAGTTGCGTTGAGAATTGCTCAGGAGAGTAACTCACATTTATGGACATTTAATACATGTTTTGAGAATAATATTAGCTCCAATTCCTAGGTTGGACAGGAGGGAAGGATGAAAGTGGTAACCAGAACTCCCTCAAAAATAAACAAAACATGCATGTAAGAGAGACCATTATTTACAGAAGCAAACAGGGTATATCTAAAAAATATGTTATTTGAGGATAGTCTAACAATTTCCAGGAGAAAAGGGGGAATAGTTTGGGGACACTGCCTTGCTGAGATTTGCATTTTTCCATCACAAATTAAAGATTTTAAATATATATACTGACCTTTGCAGTAAAGAGATCCATTGCTTCTTTAGTTTCAAAGAACTGCAATTTTAAGAAATGAGAAGAAAAAATTAAACTACATAAGATATTCATACTAACACATTAAGACTGTCTTTCCGGATAGGAGCACCAGCAGCCAGCTGCTACCCATGTGGGTCCGCACAACTGGGCATTGCAGGGACCCTGCCCTTTCACAGACAGTACACGAGGAAGGGAAGTAGATCCCAGGGAAGAAGAGAGGTTGGTGCGGAGTTGAAACACTTGATTGGAACTATGTGATGCAAGGTATGGGATCACGGGCAAGTCACTCGACCACTCTGAGCTGCAGTTTCCATAGCTGAGAAAGGGGTTATTTAAACCTCAGTGTGTTCTCCTAGCTTCAAGTGCTGTTCTGATGGAGGAATTATTATTTTCCAGATTAAATCGTACTTAAGAAATTCAGCATTTGCATGGGCACTTTTGGCCCAGAAACAAGAATGTTTTTAAGAGGAAAAATCCCCCACATTTTATTTCTTTCTACACATAGCCAAACTGCAAGGTGTGAAATCAGTTCCTAGAAAAGTTCTTCTTGATCACTATGATCCTCTGATGAAGATCAGTTCACCTACTGCTTAGTCATGATTAATATATTCACTGCCATTTCACTGTAGCATGTAATATTTGAGTTAGAAAAGTTTGAAGGCACATTCATACATGGACTTATCACTTAGTAATTTTTAAAAATTTTTATTTATTTTGGCATATTATGGGGGTACAGATTTTAAAGTTTCAATAAATGTCCTTTCCCCCCTCCCCCCACAAGTCTGATTCTCCAGCATGACCATCCCTCAGATGGTGCACATCTCACTCATTACACTTAATAATTTTTTTAAAATTGTGGTAAATTATCTATAACATAACACTGACCATTAATGACATTTGGTACATTCAAAATATTGGGCCACCATCCACCTTATCTTGTTTCAAAACATTTTCTGAAAACAAAAGCAAACCCTGGTCCCATGAAGCAGTCACTCTCCATTCCCCACTGTCCCCAGCCCTTATGCCACATTTTGTTTATCCATTCGTCAGTTGGTGAATATTTGGTTTGTTTCTGTGTTTGGGGTATCATGAGCAATGCTGCTATGCACATCAGCGTGCAAATTTTTGGGTGGCTCTATGTTTTCTTTTCTGGGGGATCTGTACCCAGATATGAAATTGCTGAGTCAAATGGTACTTGTATCTTTAACTTGTTATAGAACTAGCAAACTTTTCTGCATGGGCTGCCACCTGTTATATATCTATCAGCAACAGCTCCCAACTCCCACCTCCGCACCATCTCAGGACCTGTGACTCCGGAGAGTGGACCACCCACTCGCCCCAAACCTACACACACACGGACACCACTTTTAATTACTCCTGCCAATTTTTGGAAGAGTAATCAAAGCAATTGGCAAAAGAACTAGAGGCCAGACATTGTTGTGAATGCCTTACACGCATAGCT